CCTTTGCAGCAACACTTAAAAACTGTGTAGGAGCTACTCCAGTTGCTACTCTGTACTGCAAAGGGAAGCCCTTGATGGAGAGCCTTGGAGCTCTTTTCTCCTCATACCCCAAGTCACAGAGCCACAGGCTCCGTGTTCCTTGTCCAGACAAAGCTCTGAACCTGAACTCTGAGTTTCCCTCATCATCTGCCATCATCTCATAGCTCCAGCTGCCAGTGTAGCAGGCAACAGCTTTCTCACATCTACTCAGATAAACATCAGGAGCACAGATGCCAGAAAACACATCCTGTGTGTAAGCACAGGACTGTGGGCACCAAGGATTGTAGAAATGGGTATTTATATTCACCTATTCTGAAATTCAGTGGCCATGTGGAGGCAAGAGGACAATACACTATGCTTCAGGTAGGAAGAGGGAAATTCCCAGACTTTTCAGTGGCTGTTTGAAGGAACACCACAACAACAGGATCACAGGCAACATAGTTCCAAAGATGGTTACTTTGCAGAAAATTCTGCTCCAAGTTCACAGTACCACCTGTGATCTTGAGCACAAAGATTCAAAAGTTCCCCTTTGTCTGACACAAGCTGACTACAAAAGCCAGCACTGTGTGAGATATTTATACAGCTTGCCACAAACACCAACACAAGTCACATAGCTCAAACTTTGGCATTGTTATCCATGCAGAAAACCTTTTCCCTGTATTCCCAGTTTCCCAGTATGAGGTAATGACATTGCCAAAAAAATCCAGCTGTGGTCCTAGTTAAAATTCCAGCAGAAACTAAAACACCAAACAATTAGCCAGTGGCATGTTACAGGAAAGGCAGGACACAGTATGAACAGAATTGTGCATTTCTGGTTTTATCATAGAACATCCTGAGTTGGAAGCGACCCACAAGGATCATCGAGTCCAACTCCTGACCCAGCAGAGGACACCCCAACAATCCCAACACGTGCCTGAGAGCATTGTCCAAACCCTTCCTGAGCTGTGTAAGCCTTGGTGCTGTGACCACTGCCCTGGGGAGCTGTTCCAGTGCTCAACCACTCTGGGTGAAATACCTTTTCCTAATATTCAACCTAAACCTGCCCTGGCACAGCTTCATGCCATGACCACTTCCTCACTACAACACTGTTTAACCCAAGGGTCCAGTCCATCCTCTATCCAACACACAGAGCAAAGCTACAGAGACTTGATTTTTTTTTTTTTGCAACCAGAGTCTCACATTTGTCAGAGACCAACAGAAACAGAGATATCACATGCTCAGGTACTTTCTCAGGAAGCCCTTCAGAGTCTTGATTTTTCTGCAGAGAATTGTCACAAGCAGCAGCAGAAAACTTGGAACTGGAGGACCTCTGGTGGACAGCTACAGGCTGTTTCCTCAAGAGGAATGTACTGAAGAAAAGCAGCTGCAGCATCTCTAAAGATGTGCTTTTTGAAAAAACGACAACTTTTTAGAAAGGTCACAAACTCCCCCAAAACTCCTCAAAATCAGAAGGAACAGAGAATCCACTCACTGAACTGCTCGGCATCAGTCTTGCAGGTCCAACCCCAGTGCCCCAACAGTGGGTAGAGTTTTAATTCTTAAAGATAAAAAACACTGGGTTTGGAATAAGGAAAGAGATTATTTTTCCTTGGACAGTGATATTAAACACCTGCACCCCCATTCTCGGTGATGGGAAGGCCACACATCAATCCTTGACAAATACTCTGAATTCCCAAAAACACTGAATTTGTTTGAGCGAGGGAATTAAAAAAAAAAAAAAAAAGGAAGCTAGGTAGTAAAAAATATCAACATACCAAATACTCCCATTTTAGATCTCTAAATCCTTAAGTCCATAACAGCATGCACCATCCTGCTTCCTTACCTGACACTAACACATTCCCAGGAAGGCTTCGTACGGAACAGAATCAGGCGTTTGTTGTCGTCTGTCAAGGCAAAATAATCTCCTGATGGGGAGAAGGCAAAGGCCAGGATGTCATCACTTCCTTTATCTGTCCCTTTTCCATCCTGCCTAATAGAGAGAAGGAACCAACAGTTCACAACCTGATAGGTACTGAATTCCCTCAGGGAGTTGTTCCCAAACCACCCAGGAGCGTAAGGAACAAAGTAAAACTTTAAACAGTTTTATTTCTGCTTAGAATGCTGAACCAACCCAGACATTAACGCAAAGAAATAAGCCAAGAAAAGGATATTGACAGGTCAAAGCCTGTTTAGAAAACAAAAGTTTGTGCTGGCACATCTTGATATAAATTATGAAATATAAACACATATATGAGGTATAAATATATATATGAATTATAAATTATAAATTATTTCTCTATGAGGAAACCAGTAAAATGTTTCCTGTTTGGCTACAAGTAAAACAATACTCAATGGTTGAATCTAAGCTATGAAAAACACTTTTTTGATTGTGTGTGTTTTGAATTCTCATGACTTACAGAACAGATCTGGGGAAGAACTTATTTAAGAGTTTTGTGGATTTTTTTGGTCTTAGATGTCTAACAAAGAATGCAGGACTTTTCCACAAATGTCTTGACTGACAATAGACAGATTTATTGATTTTGATTTTGCCACTGCTGTTTTTTTTAGAAAATAAGAGAAGAAAGGTGCACAGTGGAATGAAACTCTGGATGAAACAGAAACAAAACATAGATCCATATATATCCATCAGGGTTAGCAAAACCAACCCTTCACCTGCTCAAGGAGTCATCCTGTGGGTTTTACTGCCTTCACAGCCACACAAGCTCAGAGATGCACCCTCCAGGAAAAGAGCAGATTTTCTCACCCTTTCTCTCCTAAGGGCTGCTTCTCTGCACTGCTGCAATCATACACAAAGAGACTCTCATCACTGCAAGGGAAAAACAAACCTAAAATTACTGCACTAGAACAACCAGGAGCTTTAACTATGGAAAATAGCAATTGTTTTGTAGGATTCTCTTATTTTAGTTATTGGGCACAACTGCCCCCCATCTCGAGAACCACCTCTGCCCAAGTGGGCTCCCAGAGTGCTACAGATGTGGCAGAAGCTTAAAATTTTGGACTGTGACATGTCAAAAAGGAAATTCTCCCCTGCTGGTGAAGTAACTCTGTATTTTGCATGAATTTTATTTCTGTCACTCTCAGCAAATCTGTCAGTAGCATTTACCCAGTCACAGAATCACAGGACTGGTGAGATTGGATGGGACCACAGTGGGTCAGCTGGTAGAACCTCCCTGCCTGAGGAGGGTCACCCCAGAGCACACAGCACAGGATTGTGTCCAGACAGCTCTGGAATATCTCTAGAGAGGAGACTCCACACCCTCTCTGCACAGTCTGTCCCAGTGCTCAGTCACTGCACAGGGAAGAAGTTCTTCCTCATGCTCAGGTGGAACTTCCAGGGCATCAGTTCTGCCCCTGCCTCTTGTCCTGTTTCTGGGCACCACGGAGCAGAGCCTGGCCCATGTTTTGACACCTCCCTTCAGACACCACACAGAGCCTCAGCACCACTCGGGTTGGAAAGGACCTTGGAGATCACCCAGTCCAACCCCCTGCCCAGGCAAGGTCCCCTGGAACAGTGACACAGGAACGTGTCCAGATGGCTCTGGAATGTCACCAGAGAGGGAGACTCCACACCCTCCCTGGCCAGCTGTTCCAGAGCTCTGCCACCTCCATGGAAAGAAATTCTTCCTTGTGTTGAGTGGAACTTCTTGTGTTTTATTTTATGGCCATTGCTCCTCATCCTGTCACTGGGCAACAGGAGATAGAAAGAGCCTGGCACCATCCATTTGGCACCCACCTGGGAGATATTTATATGCACCTTCCCTATGGACATGAAACAGACCATTATTACAGATGTGTATATATGTCTGTATATATATAAATATTGTATACATTCTATGCATGTATATGTATTTATATACATATGTATATATAAGTATAAAAAAACATTGTATACATTCTAGGCACTAATAGTTTTATGCATAATGTTAGATATATACATGTAAAATGTGTGCTATATCCATGTTATATCCATGCTATATCCATGCTCTATCCATATATATATATATATATGCTATATATATACATATAAGTTCTCCTGAAGTTATGTACCCATATTCACTGTTACATATATAAAACATATGCATGCATAAAACATATATGTGTGTATATAACATATATGAACGTATAGCGTATGTGAATGTATATAGCATATATGAATGTATATAGCATATGTGTATATAAAATATATGTATATATGTAACATATACATATATATTATATATATGTATATTATATATATGTATATTATATATATGTATATTATATATACATATACATATATATATTATATATATACATGTATACATGTATATATATATGTGCTTACATAAATATGTAGTGTGTGTATGTATAATATATATTATATATATAAAATATACATAATACATATAAAATACACATAATATATATAAATATATACTATATATAACATATATATTATTTATATATATAAATAGTTTTATATTTATATACATTTTTATAGTGTGCATATATCGATGTATATTCTCTATGCTATATATAGCCCAACTGGGGGAGCACAACCGTGACAGAAAACCGCCAAGGCTACAAAGTTCCAAAGTGGCATTTCCGTCCCAGAACACGCTGACAAGGAGCTGGGAAAGGCACGAACCCCCGCAGGGCCGGCGGCTCCCTCACCGCCCCAGCACCTCCCCTCACCCCACACGGGGCCCTGCGAGCCCCCTCAGGAGGCACCGGGCGGCCTCCGCCGCTCGGACCCGCTCGGCCCCGCACGCCCCGCACTGCCCCGGCCCCGCACGCCCCGCACTGCCCCGGCCCCGCACGGCCCGCACTGACCCGCTGTGGCCCGGCCGTGCCGCCAGCAGCCGCCGCCCGGCGCTCGCCACGGCCGCGGCCCCGCGCAGCGCCAGCGCCGGACGGGCCCCGGGGCTGCGCCCGCCGCCATCGCCGCCCGCCATGCGCCCGCGCCGCCGCCTGACGTCACCGCGCCACCGCGTGACGTCACCGCGCTCCGGTCCCGCCCACCGCCCGCCCGCGGGGCGCCCTGAGGGCTCCGGGCAAGATGGCGGCGGCCGCGGCGCTGAGGGGCGGTGGGAGGGCGCTGAGCCGCGAGGTAAAGGGGCTCCTCCGGGGGTTTCCTGCACCCGCACGCCCTCCGCTGTCGGGGTTTCCTCCCGCTGTGTTAACTCTTTTTTTGCAGGTGTTGCAGCTGGAGGCGAGGGGGCTTTGCACGAAGCCGGTGGGCACCGGGATGGCGCCGCCAAAGAGTAAGAGGGTGGTTTGGGTGTGAGGGGTGTCGGGGTGTCAGTAAAAGGAATGGGGCAGGGGAGATGGCGAAGGGTCAGGCCTGGGAAGAGGCGCTGCGTAAGCTGGGAAAAGCAAGGACTGAAAGGTCATCGCCGTGTAAACGAGGGATTTTGTTAAAATGTACCGTGTAGTAATAAAAGTAAAGGTCTGGATGTGTGCAATATATTTATAAGTCATATATACACATATATACATACATAGTTTTATATTTATGAGCTTGTCACTTCTTTCCTGTGTACCTTCACGTTAATATTCAAGGCCAAGCTGCATAACTCAGCTGTTCAACCTGTACGAGGGCGAATGGCTTCAAAGTGAAAGAAATTAGGGTTAGATCAGATATCAGGAAAAAATTGTTTACTGCGAGGCCGGTGAGGCCCTGGCACAGGTTGCTCAGAGAAGCTGTGGATGTCCCATACCTGGAAATGTTTTTAATGACATGCAAAATATAATTCTTAACTTTAGATGTTCACCCTTGTCTTTTGAAATGTTTGTGTTATCAGGATTAAAAAATAGAAGGACTGAGATAGAGAAGGACTTCCAAAATCCAAATATCCCAAATAGCAGCTCCAGGCAGCAGTGTAGGAAACTGCCATGGCCCTGTGTGTTAAATTTGGTTATAATGCTTCTTGCCCCGTAGATCTGCACACCTTGATTAGGATGCTGCCCTGCATCCCGCATTGAGGAGTATTTGAACCCTTTTACCCCTGACCAAAGTCAATATAAATTTCAGAGGCTGATGTCTTGTTTGTCTCAATGGAAGCTCAGTGGTTCAGTGAGGTTTCCTGTCCCAAATTAGAGATCCAGGTGCTGAAACAGGAAAGCTCCATGGAACCATGTGTAGGAGCCATCAGACTTGTTGACTGCTGTTGAAAAGATCACTGAAAGAGCAGTTGAAGGCAGACTTCTGCCACCTTCTTAAATGCCAAAGCAAATAAAAGCCTGGCTGTTCCATTGAGAAAGCCTTCACTGCATAGATTGATTGAACAGCAAGTTGCTTTTTATTATGATATTGTTTTTGCATTAAGTGTATTTGAGATGCACTTTAGTATCAGTTTCTGGGTTCACTGTTCTGCAGCTCTGATTTGTGTCAGGAGCCCTCTTAGGCCATCTGCTTCCTCTGCAAACACCCCAGGTTAATTAAGATTTATAGGGTGCAGTGCCTTTGCCAGATTCTGCCTGGAACAGGATGTGCAAATTCTCCTTGCTTTGATAAAATGGTTGTGTTTACACACAGAGTCAATGATGGGAAATAGGCCTGTAATTTCTGCCTGTCGCCTCTCTGAGTGTGATCAGCCTTTAAATACATGCTGGGAATGATGCTGATGTTCCAAGCACCAGGAAGAACACATCTGGGAATGGTGTTTCTTGATTTGTAGGTGGTGTTCTTTTGGCAAAGTGATGCAGGTACAGATTAGCTGGTGCAAAGTTTGAAATACCCTAATTAAAGTGGATCAGTTGTATTGGATGTTTCAGCTTTTAATCATAATATCTATCTTTTTCACTATCCAAACTTAACTGTTTAAAACATTATTCCAGTAACTAATGGACAAGTTGAATTTTCCTTGCCTTCTTGATTTCTTAGGATGTTTTAACATTAATACTTCTTCAGGTTTTGCTCAGCTTTCCCTTGTCTATGCTCCCTTTGGCCATTCTTGTGTTAGTTTAACCTCTTCTGCACCTCTCTGAAGAGCTCTTCCCTCCTGAGTGACGCTTCCTCACGTGTTAGTTTCTCCAGGCTGCTGTTTGGCTGGGTCAGTCTGTGCAGGGAGTCAGACCTCTTCCAAAGGTGGCTGCCCATCCTCCTGCCTCCCCCTGCCCTTCCTTCCCATCCTGCACCTTCCATCTGGCACAGAGAAGTATGTGCTTGAAATTATTCAAAATACTACTTGTAAACTTGATACATTTTTTTTTCATTGTATTTTGTTTTGATAAAAGCTCTGCGTTTCTTTCTTAAACACTTTGCTTTTGTTTTCGTGTGCTTGTCTCTTCTGTGATGTTTTAATTTAGACATTGCTAAAGACTTGCTTCTGTTCAGAACTAATGGTAATAACTCCTTAAATCATACAAGGTGTTACCATAAAATACCAGTGAGGGGAAAGCTGAATTTAGTTTATGGGCATATAAAGTAGATCTGGATTTCCAAACTTTGCAGAAAAATCTGTATAATGGGCTGGAAATCTGTTGAATTTTACTGCTGGTTGGAAGTGGTGCAACTTGTAATGGAGTTGGCTTTGATATAGCAAATTTGAGCCATGGTGAATCTTCTTAATGTGCTTCCAGTCCTCCTTGACATCCTGTTTTCTGTAACCACAACAGTATTTGCTGTTGCTCAGCCTCCTGAGGATGATAATAAGCATCCAAGGGATATTATGTATTCCCTGGAAGGACCTGAAAATTGCTGCCTTCTCCTTCAACTGTTGGTTCCTTGTCTGGTGAGTTTAGCTTAATGCAGGTGTCCACGAGGGAGAAGAAACTGAGAAACAAACGTGAAGCATCAGGAGATCTTCTAAGACCTCTTTAACGAAGAGGTCTCAAACAAAATAGGAAGTGAAGCCTGGAGGAGATGAGGTCTTGGGGAAATAGTTGAGCTCTGGGGGCACACCTCAGCTAGCAGCTCATGTGGGCCGTGAACAAGTAATAAATACTTGGATGGCCTCAGGTATCCCTTACTCTGCTGCTTTTCCTTTTGGGAGTCATCCCTCCCTGCTGCTTCCAGGATAACTCTTGCAAGCAGCTGTGGCTGTGTCTCTTTACTGTGTCTCTGCTTCTGCTTGTTCACAGACCAGTGCTGTCTCTGCAGCAGCACTTGAAAAGCTTGGCTGACAAGCCATCCTGATGCTCACCTGAGGTAGGGAAGTGTCTGCAGACCTTTTCCAGTGCTGCAGAGTTGAAGCACAGCGAAAACCAGCTCTTGGAGGGGTCTGGCAAAGTGAGGAACATAAGGGTTCATCTCTTGAGTTTCTGCATCGCAGCAGCAAAAACTGTTATGTACTAGTAGAACTCCAGTTCCTTTTACTTAAAAAGTCTAAAAACTTCCTGCTTTGCAATGCCTGTATTTAGCATTATAATTGCTTTTAGTTTATTTTTGTACCAGATTATCTTTGAAAGTTAAAACTGTGTGACTAAGCTCAGTAATAGTGATGTCAGATCCAATGATGATAATCCTCTTTATGCCGTTTCCTAGATGTAGTGGCACCACAGGGAAGCACCAAGCTGCTTGCCATGAAGGCACCAGTTGAATTTCGTAAAATGTTGTCTTCTAGCTCTCTCCTGCTGTCTGCAGACAAAGGTGAGAGCATTTCTAGTACCACCCTCAAGGAAGCTGCAAAGCCTGCTGAAGACACAGGGATGACCATGTCAAGAAAAACTGAGGTTGCATTTCCTCAGCGAGGAGGAGTTGCTTCCTCCCATGAGGAGGAAAAACTCACCACACCTGCAGCAGGAAGAGGCCTGAGGAAAGAGTTAGCTGAGGAACAGACTTCATCCAGCTCAGAGTCAGATTCTAGCTCAGATTCAGAGGATGAAAATGTTGATGATTCACAAGTTGCCGTTAAAACTAAAGTTGAGTTTCCCAGACGAGATGCCATCTTTTCTGAGAACATAGCAGTAAAGGCATCAATGCTGGCAAAAGAGAAATTGTCCCAGAAATCCCTCAAAGAATACGGAATTAAGAAGCTGCCACGCAAACCAGAAATTAATGTGTCTTCTGTAAAGCAGGTCAAATTTTCTAAATCATCAGTCAGCCAAGAAACATCAAAATCCAAAGGAAGAGACCCCAAAGTAAAATCCCCTCCAAAAGAACGGAAGTTGGTCTTAGAACCACATGTGCTGAAAAGTCTGGACCTGACCAATGTCACTCATAAATCTGATCCTGGGGAGGAAAAGTCCATTGGAACCCAGGTAGCAGCTATCCAGCTGAAAGCTTCAGCAGTGACTCAGGAAGACAAAAAGCAAGATCTGCTATCCAGAGGAGCGAAGGAAAAGATGAAGGAGGCACAAGAGTTGGAAGCAAAAGAAGTAACTGCTCCTAAAGTGGAAGAGACTTCTGGAAGCACAGTGTTGGCGATGGGCACCACAGCAAGGGAGGAGACCACGCAGGAATCAGGAGTCCAGGCTGGAGAAAGCAGCACAATTGAGGGTACAGCTTTAAATTGTTTGAACTGTATTGATTCATCTGGGCTAGGGTTTGACACTTTTAAAGGGTTTCCACATCTTCTCTCATCTTTGTACTGAAGCTGGCAGAGTGGCAGTGACTTTCTGGAAGATAAATTGTTCATTGCTAATTGTTATAAGCTGTCAGTAATACTCAGTCTCCAGCTATGCTGTGAAAGGAAGTGGTTTCATTTCTCTGTATTTATAGTTTCATAAAACAGTTACTTATAAAATGGAAACAAGATTGTTTCCACTGTGAGCAAAATCATGAGTTTTATATGACAACACTTGTTTTCATTCTTCTCTTTTTTTGGAAGGATTTGGTAGCTGCTATTCTCATGAGTCAAATTTGGTGCCATCTTATTGTTGCTTAAACCCTGCCGTATTTCTGGTTTTGTTTTGGGTTTTTTTTGGGTTTTGTTTTGAGGTTTTTTTTTTTTTTCAAGCTGTCAATGTTTCAGATTTCAAAAGACTTTGAGAAATCATAGTGTAATGCCAGAAATAGGCATTGTTGATTTGGAGACTGGAAGGTTGCAATTCATGTGGAAGTAGTGAGTCAGTTTTATAGAGAGCTGGGGAGGAGACAGTGGTGTGTTTCCAGGAAAGACCACTGTGGATCACATAATCATCTCCTCAGCTGTGCTTCCCTAGCTGACCTACCCTTCTTAGTTACTGCCATCCTGTAAATTGATGGTCCTGCTGATCTCATTTTGTGTGTCTCAGTAGCAGATGTCTCTCTGTCCTGATCTGTCAAGATTCTGCTTTTCATCTTAGGCAGTATAAATCTGCCATTCTTGAGACTCCTCTTCTCATTGCTGCTATGAATTAAAGAATTTGCCTGCTTGGAAGTAAAAGCAGCATTAATTGTAAGGTTGCTTGGGTATCATCATGCAGGAAAGGCCCTGGGGGAACAGCAAACTGAATGTGAGCCAGCAATGTGCCCTTGCAGCAAAGGCCACCAAGGGTGGCCTGGGAGGAGCAGGCTGAGGGAGCTGCAGCTCCTTCCCTGGTGAGGTGCCCTGGGGGTGCAGAGTTCAGTTTGGGGCTCCCCAGTGCAAGGGAGATGTGGGGCTGCTGGACAGAGAGCACTAAAGTGCCACTGAAATGATGGAGGGACTGGAATATCTCTCCTGTGAAGGAAGGCTGAGAGAGCTGGGACTGTCCAGCCCAGTAAAGAGAGGGTTTAGACAGAACATCACCAGTGTGTAGAAATAACAGAAGGAGAGGCAAGGCTTTCCAGTGGTGCACGGTGATGAGACCAGAGGCAGTGGATGCAAACTGAAACACAGGGTTTTACCTGAACATCAGTGAGCACTTTTTTTTACTGTGAGTGATAGAGCACTGCACAAGTTGCTCAGGGAGGTGGTGGGGTCTCCATCCTTGGAGACACTCAGAAGCTGTCTGGATGGGGCCCTGGGCCTCCTGCTGTAGCTGACCCTGCCTGAGCATTTGGGGTTGGGCCAGCTGACCTTCCAGCCTCTGCCATTCTGTGACTCTGAAGTGCCTGACAAGGTTAAGGGACAAAATAATTGCATTTGTATGTCAGCTTCTAGAAGATGGTGCTGAGTAAAAGGCCTGCCTTCTCTTTGAGGGGTTAGTTGGCTCATAATTTCATCTCTTTCCTTACCTTCTTGCTTGGTGGCAACTCAGATGGCTGGAGGTGGCCCTCTGTGCTGAACTCAATCTTGGAGGTCTTTTCCAACCTAAGTAATTTTGCAGTTTAAAAACCAAAATGCAGCACTAAATGATAGTTTGATTTGCAGTCAACACCATAAGCTTTCTTTTAAAAATAACAAAAGTTTGGGAAGGGCTCTTTGTTTTTATCTACAGATGATGCTTTTCTCACCATTCATCCACAGTGGAGTTCTAGATGCTCAAACATTCTTTTTTTCTGTTGTCTCCAGATGTATCTTGTTCTTTCTTCCTTCTTTGAGAACAGCCACTGCTTTTCCTTGTTCAGCATTCACAGCTGACTCTACCACCTGTAATTCCTACTTCTGTCCTGCCCCTGTGCCCTTAAGTCTGCAAACTCTGAGGCAACCATACAAAAGATGTGAGAAGAATTTTTCTCAAAGAAAACCTGGATGTTCAGGTGATGTCATCCCTTTGTAGAGCAGTCAGCAAAAACTGCTGCCTTGAACTGCTGAGTGAGGAGCAAAGTTGTAGCTGGGAACTCAGAAACAGGCCTGTGATTCATTTCAGAAGAGCATCCTGAGAAGTGCTTGCTTTTTAAGAAGTAAAGCAGAGATGAAGGATGGAGTGTGGGGAGGATGAACTCAGGAATAAATTTTTCCTTTGAGAAGCCAAGTGCAGTGTATTTGGGCAGGAAGAACAAGGCTCCATCTGCTTCTCTTCTGCACATCTGTCTCTGAATTTGGAACAACTGGCTCTTGCAGGTTGAGCTACTCTTGCCTCCCCTTGCCTGTTCTTGGGGCTCTTTGCAGCAAAGAGCATTATCTGCCTTTTCTCTTTGGATCTCATCTCCTGTGAGCTGTGTCAGAACTGAGCAGTAGGCACAGGGATATTTCCTGTCATGTTTTGCTGAAACTATGACTTACTTCCTTGAGTTTTACAAGCAAGCCTTGCTAAATGCTATGGATATTTCTCTTAATCTGATAGCTTCACACTGCAGTAATTATGTCATAAGTAAAGGGAAATCCTGGTGTTCAATTTCTTGTGTTTTTATTGTAGATGGACCTGTTAAAATAAGGGCTTAATACAATCTAACCTGAACCAGCACATACAAATTTATATGACAAAGGTTTTCACTACACTTTGTGTCTTCTTCTGTTTCTAAAACTCTGGGTATACAAGAATAAATTAATATTAGGAGTAAAGTTTTATTTTTTGAAATTTGCTTGGTTGTAAAATTAACCTGGCAACAGGAACGTTTAATGTAAATGATACTGCCTACATTTGCATAATATTCTAAAAGCATACGAAATAATGTTGGCTTTAACAGGAAGTAAGGAGTTCTAAATAACTTTATTGGGTTACTCTTTTTTGAAGGAGAGCTAATACCAAGATTAGAAGATTATATTTACAAGAAAATAAATTTACATCAAAGGCTCTTGATAGATTGCTGTTTGGTATAGCCACATTTGAAATTAAATGGTGGAGATCTTGTTAAGTCCATTGCTTCTCCCCATGGCAAAAATTCAATCTGTAAAGCAGTTCTGAGAGCAGTTCTTGTGGTCTGACAGGATGATACATCATTTGTACTGCTCTTTTGCCCCTCCTGGTTTGCTAAGAATGTCACCTACTGTTCTGGCTGGAATGAAAACCAAGACAAATGAGAAAGCCAGGAAATGTGGACATATGCCTTCCAGAGATAAATGGAATGTTCTGGCCTGTCCACCCCCAGCATTAGGTGGTGGTTTGGGTTTAAAACCTGTGCTGTACGAGATGCCTTGTGCTGATCCCTGTTCCCCACTGCATGTGCTGCCAGACAAGGCACCAGCTGGACTTCTTTTGTTAAAGTTGCTGACTTTTTTCTTTCAAATGTTAAGTGGATGAGGGATCTGACAATTCATGAAGGCTGACTCAGTGCTTAAAAACATTGTCCTCTGTTGTGGCATCCTCATAGTCACCAGTTCCTGTTTGTTTTCACAGAGACTGGTCAGCCTGCTCCGGAGGAGTTTGATAATTCCACCTACAAGAACCTGCAGCACCACGAGTATCACACTTTCACCTTTCACGATTATATCGCTGTCCTCGCCAAGTACAGGCAGCCTCAGCCATCCTCTGGAAGACCATCACCAAGGCACTGAGAGAGCCACACCTACAGCAAACACCCAGGCTGCATGGTGAATCGTTCTCTTTAGCACTGTTGCTTCATCTGTATAATTGAAATCAGATAATAAATAATAAAGGCATAATAACTTGGGCTTTTGAACAGTTCTTCCTGGTTGTTGGGAGTCCCTCACTTCTTGACTTTTATGAGTGAACTGCAAATGAATCATCACTCAATAAAAATACCTTTTCTACCTCTCCATATATATTATTTGGTGATAGTGTAAAAAAGTCCTGACTTTTCAGTGTCTCCGAACTTTAGATATTGACCATTCTTACAGGACCACGCCAAAGAATCCCATGGGATCCAACTCCTGTGGAGTTGAATCTGGTGGTGTCACTGCACTGCAGTGGGCTGTGCTCCTTGCACACAGACATGTTCCCAGCTCTGAAGAGGTGATGTTTACTCTGGATTTGGGAGTTAAAATCATTGGCTGGGAGCAGCACAAGATGTGTTTGTCTCCTGTGGCAAGAGTGAATGTTTTGTGTTAGTGGAGGAATGCAAGGTTATGTAATGTGATTGAAACATCTCAAAACCTCTGTTCTTGTAAAGGGAGAACAGAACATACAACTTTATTTAATCATCTGTTGGGGCCTCCAAAATTCAGGTTCTGCAGTAATTGAAATAATTTTAAGTGTAAGAGAATCTCAGTGGGCAGATCCTAATAGACTTTTACTGTGTTGATTAAACTTTGAGGAAAAAACCTATTTCTATGGATAGAAACACTTGAATGAATATTTTCGAATGTGATGAAAATACTATAAGGGTGAAAACAGCTCCTGGTACTAATTGTTTGGAGTATGTCTAATTTCCTACTTCTTTTTTTCCCCAGACTAAAAGTTAAAATTGCTGTCCAGCCTCAGTCTTGCTCTGCAGAAAATGTGAGCCATGAGGCACTTCTCAATACACGTTATCAGCAGTTACAGTTGGTCTCAGTAAATTTTGTATTTCCATCCTATTAGTAACAGTCTTCTGCCTTCTGGGAAAATCGCCTTGATGGCCGCCAGCTGTTGTGGGTTTAGTTCCATTTTGGCTTCTTGTTCATTTTGGGCTTTTTTGGAGTTAATTGGCCTTTAAGCAGTTCTTGCAATAACTACAGCATTTTCCATCACCTGTCTGTATTCTTTCAAGCAACAGACCGGGCAAGATCAAAGGGAAAACAGAGTCAGCTTTAGGAGTCTATCTGGATATTGGATGTGAATCCCTGGGTGCAATTAGTAGAGCAGATATTTTATACTGTAACTTGGCAAAAATGTGGTAAGAAGGATCAAGAGGCCTACATCAATTTGCTGTGTAGAATTTTAAGTCAGAAACCCCTGGCAAGCAATTTTATTGTGCTGTAAAAAATAAAGAGCATGTTAGTGACTCCAACTGAAATTTAGAAATCTGTTAATGTATAAATCCACGTGCTGAGGAATAAAGAGCAGAAAGTCACTTGGAGACACCAATGGTCCCATGTACTCTGTACTTGTAAAAGGGAGAGGAATTTGCTGCTAACATTAAAAACATGAAAGAATCAGGGTCTTCCTTTGTGTAGGGCCCACAGGAGGCCCCAGTAATGCTGCTGTGATTTGTTATTACCTGAGAGTCCACGTGGTAACCTGAGCCCCGGAGCTCAGAGCTGCACTGGTGCTGAACTGTGCTCTGAGCTGCTCTGGGACTGCAGAAGGAGGCTGCAAATTGTCAGACTCAATGCAGTAAAAGTGAAATGTGTATTTACTCAGCCTGCCCACAGTAGCTGTCACTGTTGGCTGTTGGGAGTCAGACTTGCTCACCTCGTGCCCTTTTTATTTCTCAGGAGGGCTGGTGTTCTAAACAGGGACTGGCTCAGCCCAGGAGGAGTGGGTTGAGGTAGAAATGGATCTTACTTGCTTACTCCCACCGTCTGCTCAGCTACATTTCTAACTAAGGAGATTCTCATCTGGTTTTGAGATGGGCATTTTGCTACCCTTGTTTCATGATCACAGCACAAAATTAATGGTGGATGCCTCTTCTATCCATGTAACCCTGCCTTGGTGTCTTGTGATCTTTCTGCACCTCTAAAATGAAGCTGGAAGTCAAAAACCATCACAACTCTTGTGGTGCATGTCTTAGGTTTGCCCTGCTCAGTGAACCAGTCTGCCCTGGGAAGGCAGATTATGCAAGGAAGGCACCAATATTTTCTTCCCACTGTTGTGTTTTCCTGGATTTCAATAAAAAAGGCTTCATGTTTTTGTCCTTGGCTATTATCAGATGTTGCTGTGCTTGAGTCATATGCTAACATTTAAATTTCAAGCAGGATATGACACAATATGCTCAAATTCTGTAACGTTAGTATCTTTGTCTTGCTGTGCTAGGCACTTGTCAGATAAGTCAGGGATCTTGTTTGGAAGAATGTATAATCCAGGATGCTAACATAATTCCTGGAAAACCTCAAATTAAGTCTCAGCTTAGTTACTGTGCAAACCAGCTGTTCAGGCGCAGCACAGATTTCAGCAGTGGGGTTTTCAAAGTAAATTGCATTACTGGGAGGGTACAAGAAAATCTGGAAATTGGAATTGACTTTCCCCTGATTGAAAAGATGAAGCAACCACTTTCCTTGTCAAAGGGGATGGCTTTTAAACTTTGTTGTTGTTTTTTTTGGTTTCGTTTTTTGGGTTTTGTTTGTTTGTTTGTTTGTTTTTTAAGTGCAGCAAACTGCTAACAAAATGGCTTTTCATCATTTTCTCACACTAAAAGTAACTGGGAAGCCATCAGGTTTTGGACAGCCATTGGAAACCCACTAGTCCAAGATCCAGTAGTGGTACTGCAAACACAGACTGTGGTATTACAGCTTTAGGTATTACAAATTCAAGAGTTTTTTGCTCCTTCTGGGGCTTCCCATGTCCTCCAGTCATGAGAACTGAAATCTCTAAGGATCTCTTCAAGTATTCTTTCGAATTGGGAAATGAGACTTTTCACTGAGTGCACTGACAGATCTTCCATAGTACATCCCCAGCGTTCAACAACCAGAACACATCCACTGAGCCCTAAAAACCTGCCCCAGGTCTTTTCTCTCACCACAAGAGATGCCACTGCTTGTCTGTTCCAAACAGTCTGAATTCCTGGTGGGTCCAGTCAGTGGCTGATGTGCAGTGAGTGAGCAGAAAACACACTCCCAGTATCCTGGGTAGTGTCATAACATCAGAATTGTGCAAACTGAGCATGGAAATCCTGAGATGATCAGTTCTCTGCTCTGCAGCAGCTGCAATTAGATCAGTTTGTCCTAGACCTTGTCCAGCTGAGCTCTGAATACACTCAAGGATGGAGATCCTGCAGGCTCTCTGGTCACCTTCTCCAGCATTTGGACACTCTTAGGATTTAAAAGACAAACAAAAACCTGTTGTCTAATTGTTTTGTTTTGTTTTGTTTTTGGGGGTTTTTTTTTGTCTCTTGATGCTGATCCTTACTCCACATTTCTGACAAGCCTGGCTTTGTCTTTTCTGCACCTTTCAAGGTGGTGATTAAAGGCAGGAATCAATCCCCCATATTGTCCCTTCAGACCAGGTTACTTCTGTAACACCTGAGTGATTGACTCCATAACCAGAGATCCTCTCAACTCTGAGTAACATCAGTTAAACTCTTAGGATTTTAAACAAAATATCCCACCAAGTTTCCAGATCATCCTTCTCCTCTCACGTGGCTCTTTTTAATGGAATTGTAAATACTTTTTTCTATGATTCTATGGTTTCAGTGCTTAGATACTATCCTCAGTGTTCAGTTCATGTCAATGCATAGTTAGAGTCATAAGTTTAAGTAGGTGTATTTATAATGAAACATCCCAAAAACTTCAGCTCAGTGTGTGGAGTCAGTCTCAAAATTTGTTTTGGTCTCCCCTGGCCTCTTTACAAACTTTTAACTGCAAAATAGATTGACAGGAACATGTTTCTGTAAATCCATAGCATCACAGAATACACCCTATGTGCATTTTAACTTCTACTACCCACAGAGCCCAGGCCACATGTCTTTGTTAAAATCAACACCTAAAATTCTTAGTGGGCTTGGTTTTGTTACTCCAGTCTGAAATGTGGTTCAAATGGCAGTGCCCTTTCCCAAACAGACACTTCCTAAAGCAGTAATGTAAAAAATGAGCTAATGTAGATTATTTATGCTTGCTTTTTGGTTATTGTTGGTTGTTATTTTGCTTTGTTTTCTGTTTCTGTCTCATATCTGTCCATGATAATGAGGTGCTCTTGCTATTCCATTTGGCCATGGGGGTACAACTGGTTTCTAAAATGTGTGACAGCATCTCTCTGGCAGGGGAGAGGGAACATGCAAGCCATGACACACCTTGTGCTACACAAATGCTCATGTTGTGCCCCAAAGAGGGGAGCAAGAATTACTCTTCCCTGGAGACTTGGAAATGGACTTGAGAGCAATAACTCTCCATGCTTCCACTACTCATTTCCAGGTGCTCCTTTCCAAAAGGCCTCTTCTGTGCTTTTTTTATTTAGCTTAAAATCACACCAGACAAGGCTATTCTGAACTGCATGGATGTTTCCCAAACTCTCCTAGGGTATTCCTAAAAGTAAGGTGTATCCTATAGTTTGAGGACTGGGAGAAATGTGAGGGGATCTGGAAAGAAACTCAAAATACAGAAGGAAAATGCAGGAACTGAGAGCAAGGATGGTCCTTATGACTCAGGTGTTGGACTGGATCATTTGTGAGACCTTTGGCTGCCTGGCAAGTTGCATAATTCCTTAGGTTCTCATCCTTACTTTATAGATGAGGAGTTAGTGGTCCCAAATTTCTCTTTGTACATCACATCTATTTAGTGAGCAACCCAGAATAAAAATGAGTAAAACATGGGAAACATATTTTCCTTACAACTTCTGTCTTGGGGACGTACATTGTTTAAGAGCTCTGAGCTAGCTGAGGTTGTCCCAGGAGATGCAGTGCTTATTAACAGCGTGACAAAAATACACTTCAGATAGGCTGGGCAGAAATGCCAGAGATTTTGAAACTGCATTCAGGCAATGGCAAGGCCGTTGAGATACAAAAAAAGCTTTACAACTGTTCCAAATACTTACTAGTGGAAGACTGTTAACAGACAGGAAAAAATGGGGAGGT